TATTACTGTGTGTATATATGTGTGTGTATGAGTGAAGGTGTGTAAGTGCCACAGTGTACATGTGGAGGTCAGAGGCAACTTTTGGGAGTTGGTTCTCTCCTTCCACTGTGGGTTCCAAGGATTGAACTGAAGTGGTCAGGTTTGCACTATGAGGTCTTTTACCAGCTGAGCCATCTCACCAGCCCAGATATTCATTTTAAAGTTTATCATTGGTCATTAAATAAATCAGATCAATACTGAGCCTAGTGAAGTAACTTTTTTTTATATGTTCTGATCAGTCCTATTGCAGCTCTAACTCCCCAACCACATTAACAATAGGAAAGCTTCAAAGGATGTAAATTAAAGAGCAATAACTAGTAGAAGGCAGACACTCCATTCTTCAACCATTTTATCACACAAAGAATTGTTTTTTTAATTACAATCCATGGGAGCTGGAGAGATAGCTCATCAGTTAAGAGCACGGGCTGCTCTTACAGAAGACTTGGATTCAGTTCCCATCACCCACATGGCAGCTAACAACTGTCTATAACTCCAGTTCCAAGGGATCCAACACCCTCTTCTGACCTCCACAGGCACTACCTGACATGATTGCACTTACATACATGCAGGCAAAATACTCAAAACACACAGAATGAAAATAATTTAAAAAAAGGTTTTTAAAAATGATTTTCATACATACCAAGTTATAAAAGTATGAAAATAAAATTAAAATCTGTTTTTAATGTGTTAACATTTTTTAAATATTTTATTTATTATTTTATGTGTATGAGTGTTATGCCTGCATGTAGGTAAGTGCACCTGTGTCGTGCAATGCCCGCAGAGGACAGAAGAGGCTGTCGGAGCCCCTGGAACTAGAGTTATGGATAGTTGTTAGCTGCCATGTGGATGCTGAGATTCAAACCTGGGTCTTCTGCAAGAATAGTCAGTGTTCTTAACCGCTGAACCATCTTTCCAGCCCCGTGGTAATTAAATTTTTAACAGGAAATTATATCCTAAATGTTGCTACACTAAACATAAACAAACTTAAACCTTATAGCAAACATTCTTTCTTTTGTGATTGAAGATCTAAAACAGGACTATATATTATACTTGGTTTCACGCAATTAAAAAAATATAACTACATTTCAAGACACTCACATTCAGTTCTTGTGCAAACAGCCTCCAGATAACAAAACCAAGTAACTTGGGTATACACTTTTATGTATGGTTCAGTTAGCCAAGTGCTTGCCTTGTAAGCATGAAGACCTGAGTGTGATTTCCAGAACCCACATGAAAAAAGCTGGGTATAGTGGTATGTGTTTGTAGTCTCAGTACTGGGAAGGCAGAGAGCAGCAGATCTCTGAGGCTGCTGACCAGCCAACCTACCCTACTTGACAAGCTCCAGACAAGTGAGAGATCATGCCTCATAAATAATCATGGACAGTGCCTGAGGAACAACACCTAAGGTAAGTCCTCTGGACTCCACATGTATGCATGCCCACTCCTGCATGCCCACTCCTGTACACAAATAAATGAACATGCATACACACATATATTAAACATATATTTTTATATATTATATACATTCTTTATGTGAATGGCTCAGCAGATTAATATATATATATATATATACCAATAACCACTTTCTCAAATATTTTGCTTTTTATAGTTAAACATGTATTTTTACTTTTGAAAAATAATTAAACATATATTTGTCAAGGTCAAAAAACAAACAAAAAAAAAGCCCTTGCCATCAAGTCTGACAACTTGAATTGAATCTCCAGGGCCCACAGGGTAGAAGGAGAGAGCTGAAGCCATTTTCTGACTTCCACACAGCTGATATGACATAAGCGCATACACACACACACACACACACACACACACACACACACACACTAAATGTTTATGTGTTTTTTAAAAAGAATATAAACATGTTACCCTCTGATCTTCTTCTTTCGTCCAAGGACCTTTTATCAATTCTGGATTCAAAACCTTCTGCCATCGATGTTGGCATTGAAAATCAGAACGATTCTGAAAGAATTTGAACAAACTTGTTATGGAATAAATGTCTCCAAGGACATAAATTAGCCCAACTTAAGTACAACAACAAAATATTAATCAAGAATAGTATAGTGACATCATTATTTAGACATGTACTTTTTTTTTACATACCTATATTCCAACTCTTGGACTTTAATTAATCATAGGTTTAGACTACAAATTAAAAACAACACATTTGAAATTAAAGTATGTATCTCTATACTGTGCTCTATAACATGGTAAGCAGCAAGGCTGGAACAGATCCTCCATAAAGAAATTAATCCAAGGGCTGGAGAGATGCCTCTGCGAGAACCAGTTAAGAGCACTGGCTGTTCTTGCAGAGAACCAGATTTGGTTCCCAGCACCCACATGGCAGCTAACAACTGCCTGTGACTCCAGGGAGAGGATCTGATGCGTTCTTCAGGCCTCCATGGGCATTTCATAACGTGCATTTCCAAACATACAAACTCATACACATAAAATAAAAAATAAATAAATAAAATTAATTAATCCAGAATTGAGGAATAAATGACAGTAGGCAGAAAAACACATGGGGCAGATATAAGAACTCAAACAACTCGGCAGGGGAGCTGGGAGGGTGAAAGAGGCTGAGGGAGTCAAAGCGCAGTGGGTGAAGGTGCTGAGACCAGGACACAGGAGGCTGTGCAGCCCAGGGAAGTAAAAGGAGGTGAGGGCGGGACCAGGCCTAGAAGGTTCCTGGGGTCCCGCAGGGAAGAACTGGGTTGGTCTGGATGCAAAGGATCAGGAAGCAGTGGCGGCTCTGGGCTGAGAGGTTAGCCCCAGTGTCTGGGGTGCCAAGACAAGAAATGGGCCTGTACCAGACTAGGAGAGAGTACTGGGATTAAAGGCCTTTGCCAGCACATCCACTGAAGCAGATCAGTTTGAATAAAAATAACAAAGTCTGGTGGTACAAAGCCATTGGTAAAGAAGATATTTCTTTTTTGCTTCATGTATTTCTAGATCATCTGTAGTCTTGGTGTATGAACTAGTAGCTTTATAAACTGTAAATCAGTAATGAAATATTAGGTATTATTTATTATTGGTAACACATTTTTTTCTAATTTTACTGGTTGACTGTCAAAATATTTCAATAGTTAATTCTCTCAAAGTGTGTTAACATGTACCACAGCTGGGATGTAGCTCAGTAGTAAAGTGATTGCCTAGCATGTGCATGGCCCTAGGTTCAATGTCTAGCATGCAAAACAAAATAAAACCAGTTATCACAAATGTTTATAAAGTCCAACACGAACTTAATATCATTTTCATTTTATAGTCTTATTTTAGGCCCCTAGATAAAAAATTTACAGGTTGAGTACCTGTTATCCAAAATGTTTGAGATGAGAAAACTTTCAGATTTCAGAGGGGTAGTTTGTTGGTTTTGTGTGTCGAGACAGGGTCTCACTATGTAGCTCAGGCTGGTCTCAAATTCACAGAGATCCATCTGTCTCTGCCTCCAGAGTGGTGGGATTAGAGGCATGAACCTCTACCTTACTTAGTAGATATCAGGTTTGGGGGGAATTTGGAAATATTTGCATATCTATAATGATAGATCTTGGAGATGGGAAAAGTCTATATGTGAAATTCACTTATGTTTCAAATCTACTTTATACACATAACCAATCATTTTATACATTTTTAGTACACTTGCCATTTTTACTGTGATGTATTACATGAAGTCAAGGTCATGTTAGTACTCAAAAAGTTGTGAATTTTGAAACACTTCAGATTTCAGATTTTTGGACTAGAGGTACTCAATGATACTACATAAAAACACTTTCTAAGGCATTAGCAACCAACTGCAAGTAGAGCAGAAAACAAAACAAAAAAATGGATATTTTAAGGAATGAAATGATAACTATATAGACATATTTCTGAAAAATAGAAACTTTAACCCAATGATTTAAATCAGATATGCTTTTCTAGAAATGTAAATTCACATTTCACTTACTTGAAGGTGACTAGCAATTAGAGTCCAATCATCAGTTCCATGTTGTTCAACCAACTTCTTTAACTTATCATCCTATTAAAACAGGTATAAAAATCAGAAATATTCCCCCCTACACTTTTCCTTCACCCCTAGTATGGAGATAACATTCTAATTTTCTCAAGTCATATTTTAAAATCATTTTTAGGAGAACTAAAGTCAATTATTATACAAATTCTTTTATTTACTATACTGTTTCAGTCAATCCCAATATCAGCCAGTTATTCATGTCTCTGATTTAAGAATGCATAAGTAGGTTGATGAATAATTTTTCCTCACATTGTTTTTTTTTTTTTTTTTTTGGTCTTTTTGAGGCAGGGTTTCCCTGTAGTCCCAACTGGCCTGGCCTGGCCTGGAAATCACTATGCAGACCAGGCTGGCCTTAAACTCACTGACATCCACCTGCCTCTGCCTCCTGAGTGTTGGGATTAAAGGCGTGCACCGCCACACCTGGTCTCACATTGTTTTTATAATGTGTTTCATAACTATAATAGTATTAACTGATAAACACAAGTATGAAACTGGTAAATGGTGACAGGTAATCACCTCATCTCTTGTCCATTTTACTCTGTTCCAGAGTTTTTTCAGTCCTTTTTGTTGTGGTACTTCGTAATCATGATCAGCATACTGAAGGTCATCATCCTCATCCTCACTACAAATGAACACAATTTGTGAAATCAATAATTTATCTAAACTATTGAATTCAAGCACTGAACTGTATGTGAAGCATGCCTGAAGAACTACTCAGAATAACCACTATATAGTCCCAATACAATTATTCAGAGTATACAAAATTCAGTTCTAAAGAGAAGAGGGAGGAGAGAACAAAAGAGGGTACTGGAATGTATGTGACATGAAAGGAACTATTTGGAGAAAGGAAGAGGATCTGCAAGGGGGAGGAGCAGGGAGACACAAACACAGACAATGTATAACACTATACATACATGAAAATGTCACATGAAAGCCATTTATTTGTATGCTAATCAAAAGTTAATTTTAAAATGTAAAAATAATTAAGTCACATAATGGGAAAGAGCTACAGTGCTCACTGTCGTTGAGGAGATACAGCTAGATATGCCACCAGGAGTCAAATCACAATCTTGTATGCCATTCTAAAGAGTTTAGTGCTTATTCTTTATGTGACCTTTATTTTAAAGAGCTAGAGGATTTTAATTAATGGAGCAAAAGACATATAGCTTGCATTTTGGGAAAAATCAATGACAGAAGTATGGTGGAAGAAGAAAAATTAATTATAACCTTTATAATAACCCAAGCAAGGACTTGATAAATGGGAACATTCAAATACAAACCAGAGTGAGTTAAAAGACACAGGGACAGTTATGTATAATAAAAACATGTAAACTTCTGTTTTATTTTTTTTAAAGACACAATAGAAGAAATGATTCATTAACAATATCAGTAACAAAATGGGTTAACTATCTAGAGATAATATTAACATACTAAATCAAGCTATAGTAAATTTTTAAAAACACTATGAAACAGACTTGAACAAATGGAAGAATATTTAGAGCACATTCCTGGATAAGAAAACAACATATAGTGACGTCCATAGAATGGCACACGCCTTTAATCCCAGCCCTCAGGAGGCAGAGGCAGGCAGATCTCTGTGAGTTCCAGATCAGCCTGGTTTACATAATGAGACCTTGTCTCAAAAAATCAAATGAATAAAATAAAATAAAAATAGACATTGAGAAGGAATTAAATTAGGAATTAGATGAAAATAAACAAGTAACAGTACCCAGAGAAGTTCCAAAAAGTAATTATTAGAATCAGTATTACCTAATATATAAATTAGAGACAAAAAAATACAGAACAGAATGATACTGACATATAAACAGATATATACATAAATGTAACAGAATAAAACATTCAAGTAAAACATGGAATTATAAGAGTAACTTTTCAACTCAGTGGAGAAACATGCATTTTTCAATGACTGTTAAGACATTAAATAGCCATTTTTTTAAATACACATTATATGCTAGTCTCTTTTTATTTCTTTGTGTATGTGTGTATTGCCTGCATGTAGGTAAGTGCATGTGTGTCATGCAATACCTGCAGAGGACAGAAGAGGCTGTCAGATCTCCTGAAACTGGAGTTACAGTTGTTAGCTGCCATGTGGGTGCTGTGATTTGAACCCAGATCTTCTGCAAGAACAGCCAGTGTTCTTAACCGCTAAGCCATCTCTCCAGCCCCCTAAATAGCCATTTTAAAAAGCTAAAGTTCTGCCAGGTGTGGTGGCGCACACCTTTAATTCCAGCACTCGGGAGGCAGAGGTAGGCAGATCTTTGTGAGTTCAAGGCCAGCCTGGTCTACATAGTGAGTTCCAGGACAGCTGGGGCTATAGGGAGACCCTGTCTCAAAAAGACAAAAAAAAAAAGTGAAAGGTTCTGCTTTATAATAAAATATATTCAGATGAAACATTTGTTTTTAAAAATAAAAAACTGTAATAGTATTATAAGATAGGGAAGAATTTTACCTTTTTATGTCATTGGGTAGGAAGTAAATATGCCAAAAATATAGAGCCCATAAAAGAACAGACCAACCAAGGTAAAAACAGTGGATAGAAAGATGTACATGCAACTGTGAAATGTTTTTTTTTTTTTACAAAAGGAAAAAGCAACTTCACAACTGATAGATATGAAAGATGTGAAAGAATGAATAATGAAGGATGACTTCAAAATTTCTTGTTTTGGAGTATAATTTAGAGCTATTCACTGAAAAAAAATAGGAGACAAAATTTTGGGGCAAGAAAATGAAAGAGTGGGGCTGGAGAGATGGCTCAGCAGTTAAGAACACTGGTTGTTCTTGCAGAAGACCCGGGTTCGAATCCCAGCACCCACATGGCAGCTAACAACTGTCTGGAACTCCAGTTCTAGGGGATATGACAGTCTCTTCTGACCTCCGCAGGCATTGCACGACACAGATGCACTTACCTACATGCAGGCAATACACTCATACACATAAAATAAAAATAATAAATAAAATATTTTTAAAAAAGAAAAGAAAATGAAAGAGTAACTACAGTTTAGGCCTATAAGCATGTATAGAAGAGAACTGAGCATCATAAACAGAATGCATGTTACAGATGTAATTCTCCAATAGCTATGCTTCTTAAAGAGAAAAACCAGTGAAACTCATTTTGATCAATATTATTATTTTACCCAATATAAAAATCAACATAAAAGTTATAAACAAAATATTTTACATTATTTTTGTTAACTAAAGTCCCAAAATCTGGTGTTTTGTGCCAAATACATCACAATTCAGACTAGCTCTATTTCAAGAGCTCAGCAGTCATCTGTGGTTGCGTATACCCTACTAGGTAGAACAGAGCTAGAAGACAATTGGGGGCATGGATCTCCTGCTCAGATACAAGATCTAGAGTAGAGAAATGTTTTTGGCAATTGCCAGCACACAAAGAACAGTTGAAGGCTGAGGAGATGGCTTGGCCAGTAATGTGCTTACCACCCAAGCATGAGAACAAGAGTTCAGATCCCCAGCACCCACATAAAAGCCAGATGTGGCAGGTCCTGGGGCTTGCTGGCCAGCCAGGTGAGCCAAATCAGTGAGCTCCATGTTCAGTGAGAGACTCTGTCTCAAAAAATAAGGTGAAGAACTATTGATGAAGACACCCAAGGTTGTCCTCTGGCCTCTACAAGCACATGTATACATGTGTATGCGCATAAAATAAATAAAATTAAAAAAGCACTTGAGACTATCAGATGTTCAAGGAACACTGATACTGTAAGGGGAGCCAAAGTCAGAACCTGAGCTTATATGGGTTAAAAAAAACAATAAAAGAATTTTAGGGAATGAAATCCCCAACTGAGGGCCTCCATGATAACCTGATTCTGAGTAGCCAGAGGCCTGTAAAAAGTAATGAGCATCTGAAAATGACACTAGCTAACATTTATTTAAAACTTAAGTACCAAATTTCATTATAGAGACTGAAGAGATGGCTTAGCTACAGCAAGCGTTGGGTGCTCTTGTAGAGGGCCTGGGTTTGGTTCCCAGTATCCACATGGTGGCTTACAACTGTCTGTTAACTCCAGTTCCAGGGAATTCAATGTCCTCTTCTGGCGTCTGCGGGTACCAGGCACACATGTGATGTATTGTATATGCAAATACTTATACACATAAAAATTAATTAAAAAAAAACTTTTACAACAACCTTGAGAGAAGTGTTATCCTTATTGCCATCTCCCAGAGTAGAAAAATTTGACTTAGAAAAGTAACTTCTTCCCAATGTCACACTAAATATGACTTGGCCAACCTTTAGAGTCCACTATTTAACCATTTTACTATATACAACATATTGAAAAAAATAGAGAAAGCATATTAAGAAGCTAGAAGTTACCAAAGACAAACTTCAAGCTCATTCTGAAAGAACAAGGTTCCAGTTCTAATTTAACTACTCACTTGTAACCCTAAACATACTAACTTCTCAGGGCTGTAGTTTACTTCTCTGTAAAATGAATATAATATCACCTACCTTTAAGGAAAGGTAGCTGAATATTATATACACAGATCACCTGGCAGTATTCAAAATTATTTTTGCAGGGGCTACAGAGATGGTTCAGTGGTTAGGGGGAATGATTGTTCTTGCAGAGGACCCAGGTTTGGTTCCTAACACCCACATGGTGGCTAACAACCATTCATACCTCTAGTTCCAGGGAATTCAATGTCTTCTTGTGATCTCTGTGGGCACTGCATGACATGGGTGCACTTACATACATGCAAGAAATATAGTCATATACAAAAATAATAAAAGTATTCAAAATTGTTTTTGCCTTACTAGATTTAACTCTCTTCCAAAAATTCCTTCTAATTTTAAACAGCAAGTTTGTAGATCTATCTTTACTGCAATATAATTAAGAATATGTGAGAGGCTTCTAATATCTAAATGTAGTAAATTCAATATTTTGAAAATTTAAGTCCTAGATTTTACACACACACACACACACACACACACACACACACACACACATCCTTTGCAGGAATCCCTAATTTCCTCTGCCTTGTCAAGTCCACAGGACGAAAATTCTTCATATTTGGACAGACAAAACATCAAGATCTCCCATTCTATCTATGATGCCTATCTACCACTGCAATTTGATGTACTTTAGTTTCCCAGTGCTGTCTTTCCCTGAAACCAATGTCTACTATAACAATAATCCTTAATATTTTGCTAAACTATGCCCAATTAAAGAAAACACTTATTGTTGGCAGTCAACTCCAACTATCAGAAAAAAATCACATGGTTACCCAAGAGTAAACTGTAACATGCTTCAAGGCCCAATGATTTCACAAATTTCTAAGTAAGCTTCTAGACTGGATAAAGCTCTGTACTACAGTTTGCACAGAGTACACACTCTTTCTTGTCGTAATGCTTACCATATTTGCCAACCTTCCCAACCAAACAGTTCAAGAGTGCAAAGACTATGTCTACCATGTTCACTTCCCAAATATGTGTAACATCTTTATCCTTTCACCTCCCCCAAAATTACCACATTCCCTTTCAACCCAACCAAAATGTCACATTCCCCAAAATCAGTGTGATCTCAAAATAGAAATGAGAAAGAAAAACAATTTGTTTTAATCATTAGAAGGCGGTAAAACACATTCCCA